TCAAATTCCGTACAACTTTGTTATCTTCAGAACTATCGTAGAATGACAGATCCAACGCGCTGCTCTAGTTCCATCGCGCCGTGATACAATTGTCGCGCCGCGATGGACACTGTCGCGCCACGATACTTCTATCGCCTTGCGATGAAAGCTGTAATATTTCGATTCGAATTCTGATCATCTAGACTCTCTTTTTTCCTTATAAATAGAGGTCGTTTTCCCCATTTTCAAATCAGCTAGAATCATTAATCATATGCTATAACCACCTAGATCCAATCATCATCATCTTTATTAAACATCCATGTTTTTAGTCTTAGCCTAAACACATCCTTGATACTCTTTCGAATCATCCCCAATACCTCATTCACTAGATTCGAATACTCTAACATATAATCTACGTTGCCTTCGACCTCAACGTGAAAGGTTGACAGTTCTGAGGGTTTGGTCCGAAATCTATATTTCAATTCATATTTGATTTATTTACTTTATTGATTTAACTTTCTTGAAGTTTACTAACGTGTGTATTGTTTAAATAGAAAGAAGGTCGAGGCATCAAAGTGAGTAATTCAATTATTATTCTTTTGATTTTGGAGTAGAAATCATGTTTACAATGTTATTTTAATTCCTAATATCATGATTAGGATGTTATTATGATTTCTACTTTCATGTTTAGGATAATGCATTGATTTTGATTATTAGTGACATGCTAGGATTTGTAATTAATCCGTTTAGTATCATGCCTAGGATCTTACTACTAACGATATTTTTGATGATGTTCTTATGATGATGATTGTTGTATTAATCATATGTTTCTTGATTATTCATGATATATTGTTATTGCTTGATCACGCCCCTTTTTGCAGGTTTAAAGGGAATTTGTACTTGAAATCACACCTAATAAGATAATTAATAATTGAATTTAGGCTTAATATGATTTTAATTCAAGTGATCACAAATAATAGATTTGATTGTGCATTAATAATCAACCAACATAGATTAAATAGGTTTAGGATTAATTTGATGTATGTATGTTGATCGAAAAGCGCACATGAATATCATAAGAATTAAGTAAAGGCCTATTTAAGGCGGGTTTAATCTCTTTTAGGTTAGATTATACCATCATTCCCGAACATCAAGTCATGGTTCTAGACCACTATGGAGTTAGCGATCTCCGTGATCATGAATGGGGTGTAACCTTCACACCCGTGAACGGTTTACAAGTTCCTAAAATTTGTTAGCGACTCTTTTATCTCTAGCTTCTTTTCCTTGGAACTCCGCCATGCCTAAAAGCATGAACCACAGTAGGGCTCAATGAGATTTGAAAAATTCTCTACAATTGAAAAGTCTAAACTTTGGGTGGGATGAGTTCAAGGAAGCTTTGAGGGAGAAGTTTTACCCTTCCAACCTAAGGAAGAAGAAATGTATGGAGTTTACCAACCTGAGAATGGGGAACATGTTTATCAATGAATACTACAACAAGTTCATTGAGTTGATGAGGTTTTCCTTGGAAGTACTTCCTACTAAAACCATTAAAGCTCAGAGATTTGAGCAAGGCTTGACCCTGACCCTCCAAGGGAAGCTAGGGAGAGTAACATTTGAGACCTTAGACAAAGTCTATGGCCATGCAGCCCACCTGTACGGGATCAAGGGGGGAAAGATGGAGCATTATAGAGAGAAAAGGAAGAACCTGGACTCTTTTCACGGGGGTGAAAAGAGGCATAAACCCAATGGTAACCACCAAGGGAATTCTGGAAATAGGAGGGACAACAAAGAGAACTTTGGGAAAGGGAAAGGAGGACAATTGACCAATTCTAGAGGGAATGGAAACCAAAGGGGTGAAAAGCCCAAGAGAAAGTATTTCTACAAGCGGTGTGAGAAAGACCACCTAGGGCAGGACTATGAGATGAACCCAGTAACGTGTCGTTATTGTCAGAAGTTGGGACGCCGTGAGTATGAGTGTTTCAAGAAAGAGGTTAACATTAAGTCAGGGGAAGGTGAAAGAGTCTAGTACTCATAGCAAACCATCGAAGCCTAGTGGACGTACACCCAAGGTTGAAATCAATAGCGGTGCGGGAGGTGCCCAAAAGGGTCGTGTTTTTGTGATGAATAGTCGTGAGGCTGAAACTTCTAATGATGTGGTAATTAGTGTTTTCCTCATAAGTTCTTTGTCTGTGAAAGTTTTGTTTGATTTGAGGGCATCCCATTCTTTTATTTCTAAGACCGTAGTTGAAAGTCTTGGGTTAGTGAGTCTTGAGTCAGTTTCTTTAGATGTGTCTATTCCGTCTAGGGAAGTGAGGAATTGTTCCAAGTTGTTTAGATGTGTACCTTTTTCCATTTCTGGGGTAGAATTCCCGTCGGATTTGATCGAGTTCGATTTAAAGGATCTTGATGAAATTTTGGGTACGGATTGCTTAGGAAAGTACGAAGCCAAGATTGACTGTGTTGTTGAAAAGGTTACTTTGAAAAGCCTAAGTAAGACTAGAGTGATATAAAAAAAGGAAGGGAAAAGTTAAGGGTTGAGAATTGTTTTTGCGATGCAACTACAGAAGTTTGTTAAGAAAGGTTATATCTTGTTTATGTGTAGTGTCTAGTAAATTGGACGTGAGGAAGAGAAGAGTGATGAAAGTATTCCGGTTATAGAAGTGTTTCTAGATGAGATTTATGGTATGCCGCCAATAAGGGATGCGGAGTTCACTATTGACCTAGTTCCTGGTCTGGACCTATTTCTAAGGCTCCATATAGGATGGCTCCAGCTAAGATGAAGGAGTTGAAGACTCAGTTGGATGATTTGTTGGAGAAAGGTTACATTCGACCTATTTCCTCACCCTGGGGAGCTCCAGTGCTATTTGTAAAGTAAAAGGATGGAAGTATGAGGTTGTGTATCGACTATCGAGAGTTGAATAATGTTATAGTAAAGAATAAGTATCCATTACCAAGGATTGATGATTTGTTTGACCAGCGGAAAGAAGCTGGAGTGTTTTCAAAGATATATCTGAAGTCAAGTTATCACCAGTTGAGAATTGCGGATCAAGATATTCCAAAGAGTGCTTTCAAGACCCGTTATGGTCATTTTGATTTCACAGTTATGTCATTTGGTTTGACCAATGCACCAACCGTGTTCATAGATTTGATGCATAGGATTTCCAGGCCGTATTTGGATAAGTTTGTAGTGGTGTTTATTGATTATATTTTGATTTATCTAAAGGATAAAGAGGAGCATCTGAGACAAGTGTTGTTACTTTTGAGGGAACATCAGTTGTACGCTAAGTTGTCCAACTGTGAGTTTTGGTTGGAGAGAGTGGCATTTTTGGGCCATGTAATTTCCAAGGAAGGAGTTTCAGTTGATCCAAGCAAGATTCGAGCTGTTAGTGAATGGTCAACCCCGAAGAATGTGTCGGATGTAAGGAGTTTCTTGGGTTTGGTAGGTTATTATAGAAGGTTTGTGAAAGATTTTTCAAGGATTTCGAGGCCCATGACAAGTTTGATGAAAAAGTAGCATAAGTTTTCATGGACTCGGGAATGTGAGGAGGCATTTCAGACCTTGAAAGAAAGGTTAACCACAGCACCTATGCTGGCTTTGCATGATGGAAATGATATATATGAAGTGTATAGTGATGCATCGGAGTTTGGATTGGGGTGTGTTTTAAATCAGAGTCGGAAAGTGATTACGTATGCTTTAAGGCAATTAAAACCACATGAGGTGAATTTCGCAACCCATGATTTGGAGTTAGCTGCAATTATATTTTCTTTAAAGATTTGGAGGCATTATCTGTATGGGGTGACTTGTAAGATTTTCACGGATGATAAGAGTTTGAAGTATATTTTCACCCAAAGGGATTTGAATGCAAGACAAAGGAGATGGTTGGAATTTCTAAGTGATTACGAATTGGACATTCAATACCATGAGGGTAAAGCTAATGTTGTGACAAATGCTTTGAGTAGGAAGTCAAAACATTTGATGAATGTAATGGTGTTACCGAATTAGTTGTGTGTGGAGTTTCAAAAAATGAATTTGGAGGTGATAGAACATGGAGAAGTGACTAGAATATTGAATGCATTGGTGATTTAACCATTCATTTATGATGAGATCAGGGAAAGTTAACTTGAGGATGAGAAGTTAAAGGCAATAAAGAAAAGCATCGATGAAGGTCAAGTGTTGGGTTTTGCCATTGGTGATGAAGGTAGTATTCGTTTCAAGGAAGATGGTGTGTGCCACATAGTTGTGGAGATTAAAAGCAGAGGCTGATGGAAGAAGCCCATAATTCTCCTTATTCAATACATCCTAGAGGGGATAAGCTGTATAAGGATATGAAGAAGACGTTTTGGTGGCCCAATATTAAGAAAGAAGTAGCTGAATTTGTGGCAAAGTGTTTGACATGTCAGTTTGTGAAGATTGAGCATCGTAGGCCTCAAGGAAATGTCCAATCCTTGGATGTGCCGATTTGGGAGTGGGATTCAATTTCTATGGATTTTGTTAGAGCATTGCCTTAAGACAAAGGATGGAAATGACACTATTAGGGTAATAGTGGACAGCCGGTTGACAAAGTCAGCAGCATTTATACCCATGTAAAGTACTTGGACTATGGATCAGCTGGGAAAAGCTTATGTGAAGTTTTATGTGAAGTACCATAGGGTACCCACGGATATTATTTCGCATAGAGATTCAAGATTCCTGTCTAACTTTTGGCAAATTTGCAAAAGGCGATAGCAACGAAGTTGTTAATGAGCACAACATTTCATCCTCCCACGGATGGACAGACTGAGATAACAATTCAAACGTTGGAAGATATGTTGAGAGAACGTGTGATGGAGTATCAAGGGTCTGGGGAAGACCACATGGATTTGATTGAGTTTTCCTACAACAATAGTCATCATGCAAGCATTAGTATGGCACCGTTTGAAGCTCTGTATGGACGGAAGTGTAGAAGCCCAAATTGCTGTAATGATATAAGTGAAACAATGGTGCTTGGGCCTGAGATGACTAAGGATATGGTGAACAAGTTATGTTAATCCAAGAAAAGAAAAAGGCAGCCCAAGACCGAAATAAGAGTTATGTTGATCTGAAAAGAAGGGATGAAGAATATCAAGTGGGAGGAAAAGAGTTTTTGAAGATTTCACCCATAAAAGGGGTAACGAGGGTTGGGAAGAAAGGGAAGCTAAGCCCAAAATACATAGGGCCATATGAGATCATCCAGAAAGTGGGAAAATTGGTATATAATTTGGATTTGCACAATGATTTGGAATGGGTTCACAATGTGATCCATGTGAGTCAAATTCAAAAGTATGTACCTGATGTGACACATGTGTTACAACCTGAAACCATTGAAATGGATGAGAATTTGACCTATGAGGAAAGACCAGTGAAGATTTTGGATACTAAAGTGAGAAACAAGAGAAACAAGGATGTGAGAATTGTGAAAGTGTTATGGCCGAACCATAAAACTAAGGAGGCTACATGGGAAGCCAAGGCTGATATGTGAAAACGTTACCCAGAATTGTTTGCCTAAGGTTAGTGTTCGAGTTACGGGGACGTAACTCCTTTAAAGGAGGGTAGAGGCAATAGCGTTTCGCGCGTTTGTGTTTCGAGTCATTTTTGAGTAATTTTTAGTCATTCTTGAGTTAGTTGTGGTCTCGAGTCGGGTTAGGATGTGCATGAACCAATAACTTATTATGATTATCATATCTCTTTATCCTAAGTTTCGGGTCGAAATTTCTTGTAAGGGGGGTAGACTGTAATACCCCGTATTTTTTAGACGTATTTTCTAATTAACTAATTAATTAGTATTTTCTAAAAAGGGTATTTTAGTAATTTATTTTACTATTTGAATTTTTGAGCCAAAATGATATTAGAATTTTAGCGCCAAAAACATTTTCAGAACTCAATTATTAATTTGGATTTTGGATAAGATTTATTATCCATTTATTTTATTTTTAAAATTGGATTATATATATATTTTGGATTTTTTAATTAAGCAAAATTGTATTACCTAATTATTTTATTAAGGGTCGAATTTCCTTAATTAATTAGCTAGGTTTTCAAATTTTCTAAGTGTAGAAAATCTGATTTTTCTTATTTAAATTAATTAGTGATTAATTGGTATTTTCTAATTAATTATTTTCTACAAAATATATTTATACAATCATTTTTATTCCTTAAAATCTAGCAAAATAATGCCTAAAAACTAATAAGGAGGTCCGAAAATATAAGCATGTAATGCTCAATATTTTCGGCCACCATATAGTATTTTTGTATTTTAATTATCTTCCTTAAATTCGCATATATACTTAATTCCTATTTTTCATACTATTTATTTGCCTTAAATATTTCTTGATTATTCCCCAAGCAAAGCCTACGTATCATTTTATTTTTCATGATCAACTATTTACCATATTTTTTCATTACTTATCACCATAAACTAAACTTTCCTAAATTCTTTAACTCTCTTTTCCAAATAATTCCTTAAACTAAATTTGTCATATTTCTTCCTACATTTTCTTATGTTAATTCTTGCATGCTCTAGCCTATAAATACCCCATGCATCAAAGCTAAAAACTCACACCAAAACCCTCTCTTTTCTCTCTATTTCTCACGACACTCTCCTCTCCTTCTCTCGATTTTTCTTGCACCACCACTGCCACAAACCTCCACGCCACCGCCAGCCACCACCTTCGGCTGACCACCGATGCCAGCCACAAGCAACAACCACCTGCCGGCGTGCTGCTGCTCCTTGCCGAGCCGCTTCTTCCTTCTCCTTCTTCAATTTTCTATCTCTTCATCTATTCTCTTAATTAATTCTACCATTATGGTTTTATAAAAATTATTATGAGTCTTTTAAATTAAATAAAATCAGTTTATTATTCAAGTTTATGAAAAAAATTATATAAGGTTCATGTACACATAATTAGGGGTTTTATTTTAATTGTTGTGATTATTTGATGACCTTATATTAATTAATGTAATATTTAATTGTAGAGTGTGTTAGACAAGAGTGCTTGAGGTTCTTTGTGTGTTTGCTAAGCCGGGATCAAGGTACGTTTAGGTTGCTAGATACCTTTGAAATTGATTGGATTGAATAAGCATGTTTTGTGTGATTTTCATGATGATTGAATTAAATTAATTTGAATTATGATTTATGAAATAATATTGAGAATTCATGTTTTAATAAATATGTTTGAGAATGGATTTTTAGTATCATGTTTTGAATGATTGAATTATTTATCATATTTGAAAGGTTGATTTTGAAAGCAGGTTGAATTGAATAAAAAGGAATTTTGAGTTAACCTATTATAAAGGTTGATTTTATTCAAAGAAGAATTTCATGAGAATTATTGAAATTAAAGCTTTAAAAGCATGATTAATATATTAATCCCACTATGCGGATTTGGCTGATAAGACTTTAGACTTTCTATGACCGAGTCATTTCTCAAGGATAGCCTTTCAATATAAAGATATTAACTTTTGGGGGCGTGCACACTTAGGAGAGGAATTGGGTTTTTAAAAAGAGGAATTGATTTAACAATCATTATTATTGAATTATTGAGTTATTAAAATTATTTTGAGAATCTTAACTTGAGAATTGGTTTTGATTTATGAGTTTGGAATTATTGGAATGATTACTGGAATTGGTTTTAAAAGCATGTTTGCTAATAAATTTAGTTTTGATTATCCTGCACTTATCGTACTTAGCATATTTTGCTAGTTGATCCGTATTTTGTATTTGTTTAGGTTCACCCTATTTACCTTAATGGTAGCAGTGTTGACTATTTTCAGCTGGAGTCAATGAATAAGCATATGGGAGTCCCGAGATTTGCTTCACCTAGTATTAGGAATGTTGGATTTATTTCTATTTTGAGTACTATTAACTATGGTTACTATTTTATTATGTATTAATACAGAAAGAGTTTGAGTTTCCGCTGCAAAGTTTTGGTTTTGTTAAGTAGTTTTGAGTAGCCTTGCGTAATCGGGCAGCGGTAATACGCCTAACTTATCTCTACGGTATAATTATATGTATTATACTAGTATTTTCGTAGAGGGAGATTTGGAGTGTTACAAGAGGCACCAAGGATCATGTCAGAAAAATGATAAATTCGATTGAGGAAAATCAAACGTCTGCTAAGGCATTCTATGAGGTTTGTATCACTGAGAAGGACCGGGGCAAGGTCCGCCAACCACATGATAACCACATGGTTATTGAATGCAAGGTTTCCAACCTTAAAGTTGGCCGAATTTTGATTGATATCGGCATTTCATCTGACATAATTAGTTGGGCATGTTTGTTAAAGTTGAAGTACAACCATAGCAGCATGCATGAGGTCTCACACCCCTTAGTCGGTTTTGGGGGTAGAGTCACTCACATAGTCGGCCGAATTAATCTACCCATCCGGCTAGGAGAAAAGGGTGCAAGAAGAAATATGGTCGTTTGGTTCTTGGTCGTTAAACAGATGACAACCTACAATCTCATTACAGGAGATTCGACCCTCAATACGTCCAAGGCCGTCATAGTCCCTTCCCTCATGCTGATAAAATTTGAAAGGAATGATGGCGGCGTCGGTTCTCTCTATGGGGATTAGAAGGTAGCAAGAGAATGCTACCTCTCCGATGTTAAGCCTACTGCAATGAGCCGGGAGGCTGAGTCAATTGATGTTGAAGACGATAAGGAATCTGAGTCTGTCCTACAAGCAGGCGGCAAGAAAAGAAAAGCTGACTAGCTGGTGCCTGTAAAAAAAGAGAAGAAATAGCAAGAGCTGACCTGGGAACGGTCAGATGAACTCCGTCCCAAGCCGGTTGGAGAGCATATTGACGTCGTTATATATGAGACACGTCCAGAACGAATTGTTAAGGTGGGGACGGTTGCATTTTCCAATTTGGGGGTAGACTTACAAAAATTGCTAAAGGAATTCAATGACATTTTTGCTTTTGAAGTGGAAGAGATGCCCGGCATAAGTCTGAATCTTGCTGTCCACAAACTCGCCATTGACCGAAGAAAAAGCATGTTAGACAAAAGAAAAGGAATCATGGTGAGGAAAGGAGTCAGGCGGCTGTCATTGAAGTCAAGAAGTTGTTAGACATTCGGCAATGTCACTATCTCGACTCGGTGGCCAATGTTGTATTGGTCAAAAAGCCGAATGGTATCTGCCGGATGTGTGTAGATTATACAGATCTGAACAAGGCATGTCCGAAGGATAGTTATCCACTTTCGAAAATCAACATTCAGGTCGATTCTACATCTGGACATGTCATGATGAGTTTTATGGACGCCTATTCAGGCTTTCACCAGATACCCCGATGGAAAAAAATCAAAAAAATACGGCATTCATCATAGATCAGGAGTTATTATGTTATACGGTGATGTCGTTTGGATTGAAGAATGCCTCGACAACATTCCAGCACATGATAAATGCGGTGTTTATTAATCAGGTTGGCAGGAATGTTAAGGCGTATATTGATGACACAATAGTTAAATCCAAACAATAGGCTGATCACCTTGCTAATCTCCGAGAAACGTTCACCACACTCAGGCGGCATAAGGTCATGCTTAATCCCAAAAAGTGTGTCTTTGGTGTTGAGTCTGGGAAGTTTATTGTATTTTAAATCGATCAAAGGGGGATAGAGGAAAATCTAGAGAAAGTGCAGGTGGTCATTGACATGAAGTCACCTAGAACCGTCAAATAAGTACAAAAGTAAAATGGTTGTCTGGCAGCATTAGAGAGATTCCTTAGCCGGTTAGGTGACAAATGCCTCCATTTCTTCCAAGCCATTAGAAAGAAAACAATGTTTGAATGGGGAGATGATGCTGAGACAACATTTCAGAAGTTAAAAGAACATCTATACTCCTTGCCGAGGCTAGTAAGTTCTTTGGCGAAGGAGACGCTTTATATGTATTAAGCCGCCTTAGATCATGCTCTCAATGCTGTTATCCTTGCTAAAAGAGAGGACAATCAGCTTTCGGTCTATTTTTTTATCCATATACTTCGAAATGCAGAGGTCCGATATTCTACAGTTGAGAAATTTTTCCTTGCACACTTTAAAACGGTCAAGAAGTTGAAACCGTACTTCTTGGCTTATCCGGTGGTAGTCTACATAGACCAGCCACCCAAGCGGTCAATGACGACTTTAGAATCATCTGGCCGAATGATTATATGGGCTATCAAAATTCAAAGCCTTCAAATCACTTTCGAACCAAGGAAGGCGGTGAAGTGTTAGGCGTTTTCCGACTTCATCGTGGAAATGACACATCCGGTAGAGCCGAAAAACTTGGACTAGGTTTGGAAGGTTTATGTGGACTGGAGCTCTACCATGAATGGTTGTGATGCTAGAATTAGATGTTAGTCTCCTGAAGGGGACAAGTATGAATATGCACTACGGTTCAAGTTCCAGGCTTCAAACAATGAAGTTGAATATGAGGCCCTGCTAGCAAGCATCCGCATGTATAAGGCGACAAGGGCGATGAAAATTGACGCCTTTTCTGATTCACAGTTG